TATGAGTTTGGGAGTGCTTGGTACAAGGAAGACTTTGTCCAAACTCCGTGTTGTTTGTGATCCCGGTAAAGGGGATGTTTTATCTTCATAAAACGTCATTTGGACTCACTTCTCCTGTCCTTGGTTGCATTGCATTTGTTCATCTTCTTGGTTCGGGTTAAGATAAATTTTTGCCTCTTTTAATTAAGTGTGCTTTTTTAGGATATTCTCGTATGTAGAAAGGTTATCGTTGCTATGATCCTGTCTCTCGCCGATATTACGTTAGTGCTGATGTTATCTTTTTTGAGTCATCATCTTTCTTTTCTACGCTGGACACTTTCACTAGATTTAGTTGTTCCTTATCAAGGGGACCTTTCTCTGCCTATTGTACTAGATTGTGTATTCCCACCCTTTCCCATTACTATTCCTCCGTTATAGGTTTATCGTCGTTATAAGGACAAAAAAGTTGTTCAATATGCTCTAGCTCTACATCAGTCACTTGATTCTATTGAGGTCTTACCTTTTAAGCCATCAGCTAGTTCATCTTCTTATGATTTATCTATTGCATTGGGAAAGGTACCATACTTATACCGAGCATTCAATTTTTAATTTTGTTTCTTTGCATCGGCTTTCAACATCCTTTTGTTGTTTTGCATTGACTATGTCTTCTTTGTATATTCCTAGCTCTTTTTAACAAGCTTTGGCATCTCCTAGTTAGAAATTGGTTATGGGTGAAGAAATGAAAGCTCTTCGTGAAAATCAGACATAGGATCTTACTTCTCTTCCTTCTAGTAAGCAGACTGTTAGTTGTTGTTGAGTTTACACTGGGAAGTATCATCCTTATGGTTCAGTTGAGCGCTTGAAGACACGCTTGATTGATAAAGGTTACACGTAGATATGTGGTGTGGATTATTGTAAGATTTTTTCTCCTGTTGCTTGTCTTAACTTTGTTAGAGTTTTTATTTTTGTCTCAGTTAGTTGTGATTGATCTTTGTATCAAGTACACATCAAGGATGTTTTTTTACATGGAGACCTACAAGATGAGGTATATGTGGTACAACCTTCAGGTTATGTTACCTCTGGTAAGGAACAATTAGTGTGTTGTTTGAAGAGTACACTATATGGTCTGAAACAATTATCACGTGTTTGGTTTGATAAGTTTAATACTGATGTACTTCAGTATGGTTTTCAACGTTGTACTTCAGACCATTTAGTTTTTATTCTTTGTGGATATGGTGATGACGTTATCATTAGTGGTAATGACTTAGATGGTATTGTCCATTTCAAAATTCATTTGGGGAAGAAGTTTCATTCCAAAGAGTTAGGTCTTCTTCGGTATTTTCTTAGGATTAAAGTTACTCGGTCAAAGGAAGGTATCTTTTTGTCAACAAAAGTATGTGTTGGATTTATTGTCTGAAAATGGTATTCTTAGTACATGTCCAGCTAATCGTCCTATAGACTCCGCTATTAAGTTAAATGTGAGATTGGTGAAGTTTTTTATGATGTAGGGCATTATCGAAGGTTAGTTGGTAAGCTGATTTACCTTATAATTGTACGTTCAAGTGCTAAGATTGAATATCAAATCATGGCTTATACTGCGTATGAAATGTTATGGGTTCATTCTTTAAGTCATGATATGGGTATCAGTGTGCCCTCTACTGTGGAGATGCATTGTGACAGCTAGGCGACTATATTCATTGCCAGTAATTCGGTCTTTCATGAGAGGATTCAACACATTAAAGTAGATTGCCATTTTATTTGACATCTTCTGATGCAAAATGAGATTATCACACCATGCATCAAGTCTAGTAATCAGCTGAGTGATATTCTTACCAAACCATTGTCTCGATTGTATTCACAAATCTTTGTTCCAATTTAGACATCTTTGATTTCTGTGCTCCAGCTTGAGGAGAATTATAAGACTTCTTATTTTATATTATTAGAAGTGTGTAATAATGTAATTACTCATAATGTTAGTTTATGATAAAAAAGCGAGTATAGGACAACATAGCTCATATTTTGATTATTCTCATCTTCTCTCATCCTTTTCCTTTCCGTTTATCTTTGTCTCTTCTTCTCTCCTTCTTCTAACATAGTATTGTTTTTTTCCTTCTTAACTCTTTTATTAATTTTCCAATTGGGTACTACAACAACTTAGAATTTCTCTAATTTGAGAGATCTTTGGTTTAGGCTGGGTACCAAGGACTTCCTTCACAAAAGTACCTGCATGCATTTCTGTATAAATGTTCTCATACTATCTTATAAATTCTATGTTTTAGTATGCTGAATTAGTTGTGCTTTATTTTTTTCATTTCTTCCGTACCTCAACAGAGCAAAGCCATAGTACACAGCATCTCAGCGCAATGAAGAGAATATTGTATTCATATCATATATCGTACATTATCTAGCAGTTTATTGGAGAGAAATACCATATTGAGGCAAAGCCATAGTTCACAGCATCTCAGCCCAACGAAGAGAATATTGTGTTCATATCGTATCTCGTACGTTATCTATCAGTTTATTGGAGAGAAATACCATATGGTGCTTATCTCTTCCAAATATTCAAACTCTATTTAATTAATAATCATGCTTTGAGGCAGACTTGCATTGACTTTGTCATTAATTGTGCCAGCTTATCTGCACCGCTGGAAAACGAAAGAAAGGACAATGTATTGCATTCGATGGACATGGCAGATCTTTCTGATTTATGTACAATAATTGCACATATCCTACTTCAGCTTGGGCGATGGAGTGGGGGCAGGTGGGAGAGAGCATGTAGGGTATGGACTTTCCAGTAGACATTTACTTATGTTCATCTACATAGCATAATCACTTGGGTTCACACATACAAAATGTATCACATGCGACAGACATGGTAAATGTCTTTGATTTATGTACTATGGCTGCTCATATCCTACTACAGCTTGGGAGATGAGGTGGAAGCCGGTGGGAGAGAGCTCCCTCAGGACACTGTTGCGTTGCCATGGGGACGGATTGAGGATATGAATTTTCCAGTACAGATTACGCATGTACATGTACATGCATTTACGCCTGTGTTCACACAGAAGAATGCTTACCTGCAAAAGTATGATCACATATTTATAAGAAATACAGGTATATATTGTAAATAGAGGATGTCTCCCACATTGAATAAATAGAACCACCCAAGGTTGGTTTATGTTCTTGAGGTGCCACTCCAATGATCGTCAATTGGTTTTGAGTTGGATATCCTAATATAGTATCAGAGTTAAGTCTTGGATGGTTAGTGGGTTAGGTCTCTTACTCATTTGAAATTCCCCGCATATTTGGATGTTTGTTTGTTAGCTCCATGTGTAAGTTCGAGTCCCACATGAAGGATGGTGTAAAGAGAGCTTGTATCCACATCAAATAATTAGGACGACTCAAGGTTTGTTACAAACTTGAGGGGTCACTCCACCCATCACCAATTTATTTTGCATTGGATGCTCTAACATGATAACTGTCTTACCATTGCACACAATATAGCCTAATAAATGCATTTTTTTTTTGTCTGAACAAAAATATCACATATGTTTCTCTTATGCATACTTTTTAGATGATTAAAAATTATTATTGGGTAAAACTATCATTCAGGAGCCACTTCTATTAAATTTATTATCAGTTTTTCTTCCATTTCAGTTGCAAAGCTTTTTTCCGTGCACATTTTTTAGCTTTTGAATCATATTTGGATATGCTTTTATGACATGCTTTAAGATCACCAGTCATGCTGTACCCAGATGCCCAGGCGACATTTCATGAGCACTTGAGAGGCTTAGAAAAATGATAGATTTCGAAAATGTCTGTTTTCTTCGAGTTGATGTTGGCAAGTTCTAAGTAAATATTTCGTCTCTCTTCAGGGCCAGGGAAAGGACTGGGTGGGATTTGTGTGTGCTGAAGGAGGGGGTGGAGGGGCTGGGTTTAGAAAAACTTGCAACGTAAGAAACCTTATGTTTGTCATTACGGAAATGGGAAATATTGCTGATGCTGGAAGAGCAGCTGCGGAGTTGTCATACTTTGTTGTAGTGTTCCATTGTGGAACAAGGAGAAAGAGGAGAACAAGAAGGGGGGGGAGCAGAGGAATGACAGGAAATGTAGCGTACCTAACCCCAGAAGTGCCACCTGATCTGAGAGAAGCAATCATCTCTAGATGTTGCAGATCTGGTCTCTCCCCGCAACCCCTTCTGTGTCTGTTTGGATGAAAAAGAAAGGAAGAGAAAATAGAAAAAAGACAAGTGTCAAGTCATGGAGGAGCTTGCCTCCATACTTCTTTGACCTTTGGCCGTGGGCATGTTTGACACCTCATGAACACACGCCATTATAGATGTGACTAATTTACTGAAATTTTGAAATCTTGATACTGAGTTACTGGTTGTATTGAAAATTATTGAGGTTAAGTGATTCACGGTGGTTCAGTCTACAAGGGGTAAAATATTCAAACTCAAAATGGACCACTGTGAATACCTAGTAAGACACTGAATCACTTAGTCACGTCGTTTCAATGGAACAATAAGAGGCATCTGTCAAATCAAGTTATAAAACTCAATTTAATATCTTTTCTATTTCATTTCGTCGGGCACGTTTTAATATTCTTAGAACATCCTGGACATTTTTTGATTCACTCACACTCACAATCCCTATAACACAAGAATATGATTTATCTGTTTTGGTAGTCTTGCAGGTATAGTTCAGGATATTTTAGTGCTTTTTCTTCACAAATGCTTATTGTTATCTGAACTCTTTTGCCATTTGAGGTACCATCTCTACCCCCTTCCCATTGCTACCTAAAAAGAACTGGACTTAAAGTTTGAGAGTTGGAGTTGACACCTGGACTCTCAACTGCACTTTGAAATGCATAATTATATCATCTGTTTGGTTTTAGTTTCATTAAGTGCATACCAAGAAATATAATCTATCCTAAATTCTAGTTTGTGGGTTCGTCGCTTTTGGTTCGAGCTGTATGATGATTGAAACTGGGAAGAAAATTTTGATTGCCTATATTCACTAGGCAACCATTGTGTAATTATTTTTGCATGCAATAAGTTTCAATTATGCAACAAAAATTACCTTTTAATAATCAACAAAAATTACCTTTTATGCAACAAAAAAGTAATATTTTAATAATCACCTTCCAAAAATTAACTAATGAAAGGGAAATCTTTTATTAGCATTTATTGGCTCTTCTTGTGAACCAATGATTGCCAATTTAATATTAGGAGGAATATTTAATTGGAAGAGTTGAATGATAAAATCTGAAGAAAATCAATGACTCATGTTGTATACTGAATTTATTGGATTTTTTTGGAAATGTGTCATTGGACAAGTAAAAGATTTTAAGTCTAATTTCTATATATTTATGTTTTTTGACTATAATTATTTCATTTAATGGTATTTTAAAGAGAGTTCATTTTGTTATATAATTTCTTTCTTTCAAATAAAATAAGATATAACGTCTTCATGGAAAATTATTTTATCTAGCAAAATTTAGCAAAAAATCAAAGCCAGAAAAATTTCCATATTATATTAGATTTGATTTTCTTTTGTTCTTTTAAAAATTATGGTTGTGATATTTTAGTATTGTTATGAGTTGGAAACTGCAGATTTATGTAGAAGAAATTTAGTGAGCATTGTAATACTTGTTTAACTAATGGGCATACATCAAATACCCATGTAGATACCTAATTCTTCACCGCCTTTGGAACTTGTTATCCAAAAATGAACCCTTCATCTTTGTTTCTCATCTGAGAAGGCAAGCCATATAATCAGTTACACTTTTGTTGGTAATCAGGCTGTTGGGTTTCCAGTATACAGTCATGTAACACAAATACATTGATGGTCAAGTCATTCGTGGCCTTAACAAAACACTTGATATTGTATGTTTAAGGCTTTGCAAACTTTTTTTCCCCAAATCAATGCCCCAACCTTTATGTCAATAGTCTAAATCTATCAAAATGGAGAATTTCCTCTAGTGGGTAAATACCAAAATTTTGTTAAATATCTTCAAAAACAGAGCACTTGCTTCTCTTTGTATTATTATTATTAGTGTTGTTTTTATTATTATTTTTACTGTGATTATTATTATTAATAGTAGTAGTAGTAGGAGGAGGAGAAGGGGTAGCTTCTAGCTCGTGTGTTTGTGTGTGATACAGCTCTTTGCTGTGAATGTATCCTGTGGTAGCCGACACATTCATTTGTTTTATTTTTCTGTTTGGTGCCATAAATAGATTTTTCTTTTTCTTTTTTGTTTTCTTATGTTAATCCTTCATTACCTTGATGTTTAAAGAATATATGGAAGTTTGGCAACTGGCCAGGGAAATATGTATGGCTTGGTGTGCAACGATGATATTCTTGGACATGCTTTCCCAGATTATGGCTTACTGTATGGTGTCTTGCCTTGGCTAGTTGTTTTGGTGATGGGGAGCTGTTAGACTGTGTCTACCACTGGCAGTTGCTATAACAGAGTTTTCATGGAGCCATGCATTTCCTCTTGTGGTCAACAGTGAAGAGTGTGGGTGAATAGGACCAAAAATAATTTTATATTTTCCCTTTGTTCTTTAGGTCAGTGATTATATTAATGCAATCTATTGGCATGTTGGTCATTGCTGTTCAACCCCACTCACTTTCATTGATACATTCAGATTATGTTCAAATTTGAGTAGCTATGAGCAATACTAGGTTGATTCAGTTGAGCACATTTTCTGCATTGACATTGGTTGTTGGCTATAACGGTGTGGCCAAGTCCTAAATGCAGTGTAAGGTTCTTGAATTGTTCGTTGTTCTAGTTCCTCGTTACTTTGTGCTCGTGGTTACGGTGATGGATCTGTTTCTGTTTCTGACAGTTTTCTATTCTCTGGATTGGGGGAGATAGATCTTCTTTGTGTTACTGGATTAACAAATCTTGCACTGTCAAGGAAGAAAGTGATCAGCCAATGAAATTTGACAATGATTATATATGGCTTTGTGCTGCAGTCACAAGGTCTGTCATAGAGTAGGATGGTCGTCAGGTTTATTTGTTTTTCCTTAGCCCCTGTGGAAAGCTTCATTTTCCAATTATCCACTGCATGTGTCGCAATAAACATCATATATGGAGATTAGTTCATTAATCAATTAGAAAGCTGTGACCATATTTGTCATGGAAACTAAACGTCTCTTCCCGTTGTAATCCCATGACACCATGATAATCTGGATCAACTGGCTTTTCAGAAGATACATATGGGAAACCTGTTCTATCGTTTGTTAGGGATATTGTGCTTAATATAGAACATCTTATACTGGCCCTATAATTGCGGAATGTGGTGTAGAAAGCACCATGCTTCGAAATATTATCTCCCTTTAGCAAAGGCCCCACCAGTTCAACCGATAAAAGCTTCTTAAAAACCTCCTGTTCAGCAATGACCTTCATGGTGATTGTCAGTAGGGTCGGTAATTTTCAAGATTGACACACTCATACGGCCTGAACTAGACATAGTTGGCAAGTTTTTGTTACTGATTTCAAAAATTACGTAGTATATTTTCTTGTACTTCGAAGGAGTACAACAGGAATTTAAATAGATTTTGAACTTACTGGAATCATCTTTAAAATGAATGACTTATTGGTCCACTTTCTTGGACTTGGTTGTTCTTTGCTGTATAAAGTAGGACTAAATAATTATTCTTTTTTTTTTTCACTAAATAGTTTTTCTCTATTATAGATTTTTACAAAATTACTTCATATTGTGTGAGTTTAGAGGTTCATCGTGGCTTTCATTTTCATATTTTTCAACATGAATATTANTCGAAAATGTCTGTTTTCTTCGAGTTGATGTTGGCAAGTTCTAAGTAAATATTTTGTCTCTCTTCAGGGCCAGGGAAAGGACTGGGTGGGATTTGTGTGTGCTGAAGGAAAAAATAAGGGGGGTGGAGGGGCTGGGTTTAGAAAAACTTGCAACGTAAGAAACCTTATGTTTGTCATTACGGAAATGGGAAATATGCTGATGCTGGGAGAGCAGCTGCGGAGTTGTCATACTTTGTTGTAGTGTTCCATTGTGGAACAAGGAGAAAGAGGAGAACAAGAAGGGGGGGGAGCAGAGGAATGACAGGAAATGTAGCGTACCTAACCCCAGAAGTGCCACCTGATCTGAGAGAAGCAATCATCTCTAGATGTTGCAGATCTGGTCTCTCCCCGCAACCCCTTCTGTGTCTGTTTGGATGAAAAAGAAAGGAAGAGAAAATAGAAAAAAGACAAGTGTCAAGTCATGGAGGAGCTTGCCTCCATACTTCTTTGACCTTTGGCCGTGGGCATGTTTGACACCTCATGAACACACGCCATTATAGATGTGACTAATTTACTGAAATTTTGAAATCTTGATACTGAGTTACTGGTTGTATTGAAAATTATTGAGGTTAAGTGATTCACGGTGGTTCAGTCTACAAGGGGTAAAATATTCAAACTCAAAATGGACCACTGTGAATACCTAGTAAGACACTGAATCACTTAGTCACGTCGTTTCAATGGAACAATAAGAGGCATCTGTCAAATCAAGTTATAAAACTCAATTTAATATCTTTTCTATTTCATTTCGTCGGGCACGTTTTAATATTCTTAGAACATCCTGGACATTTTTTGATTCACTCACACTCACAATCCCTATAACACAAGAATATGATTTATCTGTTTTGGTAGTCTTGCAGGTATAGTTCAGGATATTTTAGTGCTTTTTCTTCACAAATGCTTATTGTTATCTGAACTCTTTTGCCATTTGAGGTACCATCTCTACCCCCTTCCCATTGCTACCTAAAAAGAACTGGACTTAAAGTTTGAGAGTTGGAGTTGACACCTGGACTCTCAACTGCACTTTGAAATGCATAATTATATCATCTGTTTGGTTTTAGTTTCATTAAGTGCATACCAAGAAATATAATCTATCCTAAATTCTAGTTTGTGGGTTCGTCGCTTTTGGTTCGAGCTGTATGATGATTGAAACTGGGAAGAAAATTTTGATTGCCTATATTCACTAGGCAACCATTGTGTAATTATTTTTGCATGCAATAAGTTTCAATTATGCAACAAAAATTACCTTTTAATAATCAACAAAAATTACCTTTTATGCAACAAAAAAGTAATATTTTAATAATCACCTTCCAAAAATTAACTAATGAAAGGGAAATCTTTTATTAGCATTTATTGGCTCTTCTTGTGAACCAATGATTGCCAATTTAATATTAGGAGGAATATTTAATTGGAAGAGTTGAATGATAAAATCTGAAGAAAATCAATGACTCATGTTGTATACTGAATTTATTGGATTTTTTTGGAAATGTGTCATTGGACAAGTAAAAGATTTTAAGTCTAATTTCTATATATTTATGTTTTTTGACTATAATTATTTCATTTAATGGTATTTTAAAGAGAGTTCATTTTGTTATATAATTTCTTTCTTTCAAATAAAATAAGATATAACGTCTTCATGGAAAATTATTTTATCTAGCAAAATTTAGCAAAAAATCAAAGCCAGAAAAATTTCCATATTATATTAGATTTGATTTTCTTTTGTTCTTTTAAAAATTATGGTTGTGATATTTTAGTATTGTTATGAGTTGGAAACTGCAGATTTATGTAGAAGAAATTTAGTGAGCATTGTAATACTTGTTTAACTAATGGGCATACATCAAATACCCATGTAGATACCTAATTCTTCACCGCCTTTGGAACTTGTTATCCAAAAATGAACCCTTCATCTTTGTTTCTCATCTGAGAAGGCAAGCCATATAATCAGTTACACTTTTGTTGGTAATCAGGCTGTTGGGTTTCCAGTATACAGTCATGTAACACAAATACATTGATGGTCAAGTCATTCGTGGCCTTAACAAAACACTTGATATTGTATGTTTAAGGCTTTGCAAACTTTTTTTCCCCAAATCAATGCCCCAACCTTTATGTCAATAGTCTAAATCTATCAAAATGGAGAATTTCCTCTAGTGGGTAAATGCCAAAATTTTGTTAAATATCTTCAAAAACAGAGCACTTGCTTCTCTTTGTATTATTATTATTAGTGTTGTTTTTATTATTATTTTTACTGTGATTATTATTATTAATAGTAGTAGTAGTAGGAGGAGGAGAAGGGGTAGCTTCTAGCTCGTGTGTTTGTGTGTGATACAGCTCTTTGCTGTGAATGTATCCTGTGGTAGCCGACACATTCATTTGTTTTATTTTTCTGTTTGGTGCCATAAATAGATTTTTCTTTTTCTTTTTTGTTTTCTTATGTTAATCCTTCATTACCTTGATGTTTTAAAGAATATATGGAAGTTTGGCAACTGGCCAGGGAAATATGTATGGCTTGGTGTGCAACGATGATATTCTTGGACATGCTTTCCCAGATTATGGCTTACTGTATGGTGTCTTGC